AAAAAAAGCCTCTGCTGGGCCTTCTTCACCAGAGCAATGGTGTTAGCGCTCCAGGTCAAACCACTACACCAAACTGACAAGATGGTCAAAGGTCTTGGGGAATTTCAGACAGGCGCTATGTCCCGGTAGGGAACCGATTCTCAACCGGGTTGTGGTCTGTCATTTCAGACAGAACCCGGTTAGGAATCGGTTCCCTACCGGGATCTAAGTGGCATTTCAGACACAGAAGCCTCTCTTCCGTATAGGAACCGGGAGGAAAGCGATTTCCCTGTAAACCGCTTCCGAGGAGTCTACCGTTCCCTCTCCCGGTTCCGATACGCTTGGCCTTTTTTCCGCCCGTGTGGTTTTTTTTTTTTTTTTTTTTTGAACGTTCGGCTTATAGCGATATATCGATATATCGCTATACCGGAACCTCTAAGGAGTCGCATTCCAATGGGATCGTTATTGCGACCATTTGAGGTTCTGGTATAGCGATATATCGCTATAAGCCAAACCTTTTTTTAAAAAAAAAAAACGATCGCCTGCGTGGGAAGAAAACGGTGGGAAAACGAAGCGGTGCGTGTGTGAAACGCCGAACCGCTTGTGAATCGGCTTCTTTCCGGTAGGGGCAAGCCGTGTGTGAAACGGCAGCCCTGTACCGGTTCATCTGGAAACGGAAGACTCCCGGTTTGAAACCGGGAGAAAACTGGTAATGTGAAATTCCCCCTTCTTAGAGCCTTAAGACCTTTTCTGAGGGTGGCACCAACTCTGGAGTGCACCCTTCCACTTCAAAGGGAGCGTTTGGGAACAACCCAGCAGGCATGAAACCAAGGGATGCTCGTGAGCAGTGTTTTCTGCACATCAGTCAGCCATCATCACAAAGTCCTGCTGTTTGGTGGCCCTGTCAAGTAATGCCTTTTCCTCTTCAGGCAACTCTGACACCTTGTGGCCAGCTGGCTCCCTCGCAGAGGATTTCCCTCCTAGATGACACAACCGGCATTGACCAAAAGAACAATGCCGTTTTGTTCTAGAGCAAAAAGCGAGCCGATTTTAGCCCGTCTCTTAAGGAGCTCAAAAGCGTGCAACTTCTGTCCACCTGATGGTTGGCTAAAGTATGATTTCTTGCTCAATCCAATCTATAGTTACCAGGTCAGCCAGTGGATTTCAGGGAAACTGACTTTCAAGTAGGAATGTGTCGAATAGAGGCTTGGAATGCTAGATCAGGAATAGCCTAAGAGGTCATCTTGACCCCTTCTGCCACTTAACATTGTTGGTGCTTGTCCAGTCTCTCCCTAGAAACCTCCACTGGCACCCCACAGAGCCCCCAGCTATTTGCACCAATAGGATAAACAGTTCTTCACACTACTGGACACCCGTTTATGTATTTCCAGTCTGCATACAGATGACGCTTTCGAAGCGGAAGGCCACAGCTGTTTCAGCCTACAAACACGTTGCTTCCATAGCAAACACAAGTAACTTTGTTGGTTGATAGGTTAAACGTGGCCAGTTCCTTCCATCTGTCCTTGCGCGATCCATCTCTCAGACATCTTCACAAACTCTCTTTGGGATCCTTTCCAGTATGCCAACATTTGAAAAATGCAGACAGCACTCTAGCCGTGCCCCCTTGCTACTGCTGACTCAGAGTGATCCTGTTACAACCAAAAATGGCACCAGCCATTTTGTGACATGACCTGACATTGTTGACTCATGTTCCATTTGTCAACTAGTCCACTTGATCGGTATTTTGGAGACGGGCTCAAAGCAGGCTTGCCCGCAATAAAAACGGGAAGTACTGAAGTTCTAATGGGGACAGGGGACTGAGTTAAAACGCAAGACAACTGTGCCAGAGTAAAGCAGAACTGACAAACTGGTGGGAACAGGAACCTAATACCTCCTAATCATCTTTTGCAAATACTTGGGCAAACTGAACTGGGCAAGGGGGCAGGATTCCAGCCCAACACTCAAACTTGTATACCTTGCTAGAGTAGTCCAAGAATGTGTATTTTTAAGCACTGAAAACTGTCCCCTCCACACAGTGTTAACTGGACAGACTTGTCAAGTCGCCTCAAGCGTAGCTGATATTACCATGTCAGGAAAGGCCTGCCCAGTGGCAGAAGCCAGGATTTGATATTGCAGCAGTCTCTTTTGCCTTCCCTGCCCCATAACATCTACCACAAGCCACGTGATGTTATCTGGAAGTCCTACTCTCTATTTTGTGGTGATACTGTATCACTTGCTTAGATGGTATGGAAGAGGCATGAGATGACAATGCTTTTAGCATGCCTGCAACATCCAGTTTTAGCCAGTCTCCCCCCATTTTGCACACACATGAAAGACAGTTCACAGGCTAACCTTTCCCTTCAAGCTCTCCCAAACCCGCTAGAGCCCATTCTCTGGGCAAGTTCTCGGATACCACCAAAACATGACCAACCAGCTAGGAGCGATCCACTGTCACAAGACCAAGACTGCTCCACCTTCATCCAATGCCTTTTTGTTCATCTAAAGACGACGTCCTGTTTGCACACATCAAGTTAGGGATTAAAGTTCACAACATGAGATTTTTAACTAAAACTGGTTATAAGGAGAAAGGAACATCCTTACCAAATTTTTAAACACTCAGACTTCCATTATGGAATTCTAGAATACTATTTTTTGTGTTTTTGTATCCAGTTACAAGCTTTCGCCCCACTATCAGGGAGCATGACTGAGCAAAGCCAAGTTGATCATTCCTTCAGTTAACGTCTCATGAATGCTTTGGCTCATTAAAGGTCAATTAGTGACCTGAATACACACATTTCCCATTCCGTTGTACACTCTGTGTAAAATAGCTTGTAAACTGTTTTTGTGCTTCTTCCAAGCTACCGTACTAATGATATTTAGAACTATGCATTACAAAACCATGAGTGCCATATTTATTGAAAGGAAGATTACCCAGCATGTAAGACACCCCCTGGTTATATACAAACTATTACTGCACATATCTGGAAGCTCTTATGGGAACTTAAGGTGACTCCATATTTTTCTTGACAGTCCTCCTGGGAGAAAAACCTTGCCTTTCTTTTGGGTAACTACAGTGAAATCTGAAGCTGCAAGCTAGCCCCGTCATTGCCCTGTCATACTGTGGACCAACTACTCATGGTAGCCACTGACACACCAGGCTCTGCCTTCCTAAGGAATTACCAGGGAACATCGCAAGCTGAAACTGAGGCATTAGTACCACAGCAGGGGGAGACATAGTGGCAGATTTAGCAGAGCCATTGAAGCCTGCACAGCACCTGCTTAACAGCTGATCTGCTACAGAACATCTTGTTGCTAGCTTGCTCCCTTTCCCCGTTATAATATACTCTTCAACGGGAGAAATGGGCAGCCATCCAAAAAACAGAAACACTCTCTTGTGAAAACAGGAGTCAAAATAGCTCAGCTTAAGATAAACACCCCCCAACAGCAGCTTTTCTGTGGACAGGAGGAAGTGACTGCTCCTCCACACCTGCTCTGCAGAATGAAATATTAGCTTCATCTGGAAATACAAACTCTCAAGTGTCAGCATCAGACTTCCTAGTGATGTTTCCCAGAACACATCTTAGGCTTTCAAAATGGGAGACACTACAAGCAACAGGTAACTGTAGAGTGTGCCCAACTTATTAGCTATGCATTTGCTATTAATGCCGTTATATGTAACCAAATGACTAAATGATGTGCGGAGAATAAAGATGCTCATCCTGCTCCCGAATACAGGGCAGGAGCATGTCAAGCAGAGGAAAGACTGGCTTTGGCAACAGGGAGGATGGTGCCTGTTTCCCCATGTAGGGCACCCTCTCTCACCTATCAGTGGATACAGAAAAACTGCCTCTGGTTCAAAGAGATCTGAGCAATCACAGAGCCCTCCCACAATTAACCAAAGCCCTACAGCAGGGCTTGCCAAACTGTGGCTGGGGGAGCCACATGCAGCTCTTTCACACATATTGTGCAGCTCCTGGCAGGGCAGCTGGGGAAGTGGGGGAGAGACATGCCTCCCTGAGCGGTCGTCCCTTCCCCAGCCAGTGTTCCCCTCCCTGGGTAGGCTTGAGGTGGGGGGGAGCAGAGAAAGAAAGCAACTTTAAATGCATTCTCAAAGCTCCCCCCCCAGCTTAGAGAAGGCAAATAAATATCATTATCAATAGCTGTTTTTACCCCTTTTTGTTTTTATTTTTGGCAGTCTCATTTAACGTTAATAAAAAGCAAATTTGCATATTTTCCAATAAAAATGTGTGGGTAATATTTGTTCATGTCTTGTGGCTCTCAAACATCTGACATTTATTCTATGCAGCTCTTACGTTAAGCAAGTTCGGCCACCCCTGCCCTGCAGCAACCAGCCCTGGGTGCTTAAAAATTGCTTTGGATGAAGAAGGGTGCAAAAGTGTGAAAAAGGCCCAAATATCCCCAAGTTCCTTTGACTTTAAAAAAAAATCTGTGGCGATTGTTCAAGTCCTCACTTGAACATACTCGGGTCAATATATTTTCCCTGAGCTGGATCCAATTAAACTTCAGTAAAGGCAAAGTATTACTAATGTTCACAGGAAACTGGTTCCTGTGGCCACTAGGGTGGGGTGGGGGGAGGCCACCAATGATTTCCAGCATCTCCTTCCACCTGCCCTTTGACCAATTTTTGTCATACTATTGATGTTTCCATTCCCTTAAGTTAACATCAGTGCTATTAGCATATTAAATTCAAAGCCCCCATTAATTTCTCTTAGCTAGAAATACCCAGGAAACAAGCTCTCTCCCCCTCCACTGAGCTTATGGGATAGACTACAAAATGGGGGGGACCTTACTGTTATTGCTTCAGGAAAGCAGAATTGGAATCAAAAAGCACCCCAGGCAATTCTTAAGACCTTTATTAAGAGATGCTTGCAGTTTGACTTGAAAAAATCAGGTGTACATTTCATACAAATTAAAAATGAGGTTCTTAAAAATCCCAACTTGACCAGATATGAAACAATTTAAAAACCTTTAAAGGTGTATTGAGAAAAAACAGGCCTTTAAAAAACATGTTTGTCGCTCCCAAAAGGAGACTGCTTTAGGTAAAAATAATAAAAATCCCATGCTGCATAGATAATGCAGAGAGTTCGAGTTATCTGGTCAACAGCAAAAAGCAAGCACTTAAGGTCTTCAGTTCCAATTCTTCTGTTCATTTCTTATTGCTGGAATTTCATATTCTCTTTTATTTCATATTCTCTCTTCTTTGATGACTAAACTGGAAAAAAAGACAAAGAGAGGCCATTATCTTAACCGCACTGGGTGTGACCTTACCTTTCCCACTGATGTCAGTAGCAGAACTGATTTGCCCTTTGGAATATCTTGCATGACACACACACCCCGCAACATCTTCAAATATGCAATTTAGTTCTCACAAACAGATTAATTTTAGATTAAAAGTGGGGGCTCATGTAGTTCTCTCCCCCCCAATACTAATTTCCTGCATATGGAAAGCAGATAACAGTACTAGTCTTGTCCTTTAGATTAGAAGTGGGGGCTCATGTAGTTGACTCCCTTCCCATATTAATTCCCTGCATATGGAAAGCAGATAACAGTACTAGTCTTGTCTTTGCCCTTGAGGGATTAGACTTCTATGAGCAGAAACCTTTTCAGGATGGTGCATTCAATCATTCTGAGCCTCCACCTGCAGTGGCACAGCCCAGACACAGTCTCACCATAAGAGGCATGCGGCAGAAAAGACGCACAACAGCTATTTTAGCAGCTTAACAGGGAAACCTCCAAAGGATGTAGACATTAAATCCATTACCTGGTGAAATCAGTGGCACAAATGTCCAAATGTGCATGCTTACATTGCCCTCTAAAAGATGCCTTCCGCCAAGCCAAGCAGTTAAGCAATTCACAGAGTTTATGCAGACATCCTGCTTTAGCTAGAGATTGCGCCCTTGATATCCTGACAGTATTCCCTCACATCCCACACCCTGTCTTATATGACCACTAGGAAGTTAGGGTCAAAGCCCCCAGACCAGAGAGTCAAGATTCTTGCCCATTCTGAACAACTACATCTCAGCTGTAAGATCTCTCTCCCTGGCAGTGTATTTCAGAAATTTCACAGCCTGGTTTCCAGGCTCATCAACAAAGATCTAGAAAGGAACATACAATTTCTAGGTATGAAAAACCACTGGTGATTATAACCGGTGCCTGACCCTAAGCAACCTTGTGGTTTCAATCTTGCTACAAACATGGCTAGAGCCCCTTCCCCCAGTAACTGAAGTTCCCATTATGATTTGATCAAAATCTAAAGGGCCACCTAACTTACATTCTCAATGCAAAGAAATACAAGTACAACATACTTATCAACACCAGATAAAGCTCTCAGTGCTGGCAAATTCATTAAATATACTTCGCAGCAGACTCACTGCCCTCTCCTGGTTCATAACACTCACCCGGATGATGGTAGAGATGGTAAGCCGGCGTTTACTCAGCCCCGCCCTGCTCGGCCTCGGGAGTGGACGTGTTCTCAGCTGGTGGTTCGGCTGCCTTTGTCTCTTTGCCATCTTGTGGTTTAGGGTTTTCTGGGCGTCTGCGTCGGTAATTGAAGTTGCGACGGTACCGACGTTGAGGTGGCTGCTGACCCTGGGCCTCATCACCCTGGTTCTCTTTGTCTTCTTCGTTGCCTTCCTCTCTGGGCTGTCGTTGGCGAGGAGGACCCCTGAAAAGTCCACCAAACCTTTAAGCACCTACCTCAGTCTCAAAGTTCTAGTGTACAGCAAATCAGCACTGGGCATGTTTTTGTGGGAGCTCACCTGCGATAGCGTGGTCTGTAACCCCGATACATGTTCTGTCTGACAGGTCTGCCTTGTTCTCCCGCACCCTGGTTGTCAGCACCCTAAAAGACAAGAAGCAAGCAGCTTTTTAAAATCCCATCTTCAGGAAACAGAATCAAAAAATGCCGCATTACACACTTTTAGTCTGACCTAAAGACTTCAACCAAACTTAAGCTTAATTGATGGAACTGAAGCACTGCCATCTGGCCTACGGGTCAAGAAGTCTAAATGGGGGGAAACTTTGCTACTCACAGGTGGGCACAGCATACTGTGCCTGTTTCTGATATAAACAATGGTCTAGGAATTTCAGTTATGTCAGCACGTGACATTCGTGCTACAAAAAAGCAAGAATGCTTATTTCCCTATAAAGGAATGTTGCCCAAAGCGGATGGGTCCAGTCAGAGGTCATTTCGGGGGGGATCGCAGTTCCCCCGGGTGAGGTACGGGGGGCGGGGCACACGACGAAGCCCCGCCCCCCGCTTCCGGCCCTCATTCAGCCAGGAGGAGGCAGGAGAAAAGGGAGGGTAAGTTGCTTCCTCCCTGCCTCTCCCCACCCCTGCCTGCCTGGGGCCAGGGAGGGCCTTCGCGGGGCTTCCTTGCACTCCTGCTGGCCTTGCAGGTCCACCGCCAGGCCCCTCATGGGGCTCGGCAGTGGAGCTGCAAGGCCGGCAGCGGCGGCCGGGACCGTTGGGGGGCGGGGTGTGTGGCCTTATGACACTTCCGGTGATGTCAGGGGGTGTGACATATGCTAATGAGTTATGCTAATGAGTCTCCCTAGCTCTTTTTCTACGAAATGACCCCTGGGTCCAGTGATCCAGGGCCCTGCACTTATGTGGGATACAAGACAAGCACATGGTAAATAGCAGGAACACCAAGTGTCTCCTAGCAAAGTACATGATACAATACTATGCCCAACCAATTTTACTTGCCTAAGCAAGATTCTTCCATAAATACACCCAGGTCACTGTAATATGTGCACCTACTCTCCCCACCATCAGCCATGCAACAAAGGCAAGTAATTATTTTCTGCAAAGTTACCTCCACTATCTCTCCTTGCACAGGAGCATTGGAATACTGTGGTCGACGGCCATAGGGCCGACGCATGTAGTAAGGCGGGTACCGCCTCCTGCGGTAGGGGCGGCGCTGTTGAGACTGGCCTTCTGGCAAACTCTCCGACCCCTCGTTCTTTTCTCCGCTCTCACTATTTTGGTAATTTTGCTGGTAGTTGCGTGGAGGACCTCTACGCCGTGGATATCGTCTGTATTGGTTACGGTCTGCCGCATATTTACTGCCTTGCACTGGAACTCCACCAGGGCCTGTAACGTTGGCTGCCTCCGCTCCCTGAAAATAGCCATCACAGAACACCATGAATGGTCAGTACATATAGACACGAAGACATCCATATTCCATACCCAAAAAAGAAATGCAGCTGATCATTTTAGCTGCATCCAGTACCTGGCCCAGACAGAAACCAAAACTCAAAAGAGCAAAGTAGGGGCTATTTAAACTTAGGATAACCAGCTCACCTTTTCTCCTTCAACCACATCAAATTCCACAGTCTCTCCATCTCCTACACTGCGAAGGTACTTCCTGGGGTTATTCTTCTTGATAGCAGTCTGATGGCAAAACAGGTCAGATTTAGACTTTTAAATGGAAGTAATGAAATCCGTCCAGTATGAAGACAGTTTTTTAGATTAGATACCGAAAGTATTAGAGAAGAGAGCAGGAGGGAGAGAGAAAAATAGACACCACAGGCTAAAATATAAATAAGGATAATATCTGACCTAAACTGTTCATTCACAAGGTGGCAACACTGGAAGGTATTTTCACTGCTTCATAGCTCACAGACTCAGCCATCTGAAACAGCTGGGTTGTATGGGAAGCAGGTGCTGATAGATGACATAGTTTTTGGGTCCCTTCCAGCCCTACAGGCTGTGTACCAGAGACATCAAGAAGAGGAAAAACAGGCATATTCTAGTACAGTCTCCCAGAAATCCACATAATACAGGGAAGTCATTTTAGCAGCTCATACAGCTGCCATGTTAGCCTCTCTAATCAGACCCACAGAGCAAAATTCTGCTTTCCAAGCCTGTATTTTCAGCCAACCATGTGATCACACATGTTAAACTGACCTTCACAGTTTGCTTACTAATCGCTTTTCAGTGTGAATAGTAACAGCTGCACTCAGAGAGAAGTTATATAGTGCTGACAACATTTTCCTGGTACCCTGCCTCTATACAAGTGCCACTAACCCTAACTACAAATTTAACCTTCTGTGCAACCCTACCACCCTAATTCTTCAACAACAGAAGAAGAGAGCAGCAGATAGTTCCTGTGGGACTCAAACCCATCTCCTGGGGGTAAAAATTCTCAGGAGTCTTATGACATATTGGCTGCTGAACATTAGCAACAGGCAATGATAATCCAGGAATGAGTAATGTTAGGAGATCAGGTCATATACATGACAAACAAGCAATCCAAAGCGCCCCCCCCCATGCAACTGATTCAAATGGCAGGCTATTGCCAAAAAACAGTGTACACATTTCTGACAGAGGACTTCGTTTTGCCTTTTTAAACAAACACGGATGTGAACTCAGTTATGAGCTAAAGGAAAAAGTGGGCCAAAGGCTATCATGTGTTAGGCCCACAAGCACAGTGGAACAGCAGGCAAGGCAGTTAGCTAAGGACCACAAACCAAGGGTCCTTAAGGGCACATGGAGCATGCTGTGAGAGTCCAGGCCTTCCAACAACTGAACCAACCATCTTTTAGCCCCTTCAGGCAAAGCAAAACACTGTCTCATTTCACCAGAATCTGGCATATCTAGCGCTTACAAGCAAATGGCCTCACCTGGTGGACAAACACATCTTCCTTGGTGTCATTCCTGCAGCAAAACAAAATATTTTTTTCAGTTCAGAAAACACTACACAAAGAAACAGCATTCTCCAGCAAGGAGTGGTATTAAGTTTTGGACAAAGGCCAGGCTGTGGCTTTGGGGTACTGCCAAGGACCAACTCATATATCACATCCCTCCTCCTGTCCACGCCCATAACTTTCATGGACTAAAAATACATGCAGCGTGTAAGCTTGGAAGTTTCATATTTCTTCCTGAAAACTGTAGTTCTGTGTATAATCATCAAGCAATCTCAACCCAACAGTCAAAATGCTTTTTGGACTCATGACAGCTCTTTCCTGCAGAAACACTTTCATTAATATTTGATATTCCCTCTTACTCTTAAAAAAACACACACATAAATCTTGCTTTCTACTAAGGACGTTTTCACGGCAAGGTAGGTACCGTTTAAAAACAGCACAAAAAATAAGCAGCTGGTATAGGTGAGTCTCAAAGCACCAAATAAAGTAACCAATATTTCTATACTACATTCGTTACACAGCTCAATATGGACTTGATGTTTGCGGTAGAAACAGGTGAGGAGTGGCAGGAGTAAGTACCCATCCCCGCTTCCAGTGAAAACTCTTATAACTCAGTATAATGCAACAGCAGCATCTGCTGGCCACAGTTTATAGCCATACATGGGAAGGACTACAGGTAGGGCAGTTACTCCAAGCCTACTGTGCCAAAAGATGAAGGGCCATAACCTCGTACAGGGCATGGCAGTTTATATGGCATCACAGACATTTAAGAAAGCAATTTACATACCAACAAAACTCAATGACCCAGCTGATCTTAACCTCCATTCTACCCATTCTTATAGGTCTTTTTATCACCCACCACTCAAGAGATCTCTTGGCATTCCATGACAAATTCAAGACACGTGTCTTAATGGGATCTCGTTGCTTAGGTTTCTGGCTCAGCTCATTTCAGTACTGCCCAGCAAGACCTTCCTCAATTGCTTGGCCTGGGATCAACACTGTTGAGACTTGGCAAAAGAAGCCAAGAATGGCCAAATAGTAATGACTTTATTATTGCTGTTCTGTAGTCTCCATGGCTAGTAACAGTACAAAAAAAATGACTGCCATCAGCAAGGGAGACACACTTGTGGAGGGGGAGAGGGAAGCAGCACTTCTTTTCAAAGCCCCCACTGACTTGCACATAATAGCAGCCAGGGGGTCAAGAAAAAGCTGTTCTGTGTGAATTCACACAACCTAAATCAAGGCATGCTGAAGTTCCAGGCAAATGTGTGCAAGACCCTGCAAATGTCACACTGGAGACGAGTCATCATAGAAGAGGTGTGGGATGGAGGAATGATGTAGGTCCCAGTGATTGCATTTTTGCTGGCTGCATATTTTTCATCTGGTGTATCTTAGATTAAAGAAACCACAGAGAGTCCTTGGGGCATCTCTCTAGGTCGGGCCTAATGACCTGTAATCTAATTAACAGTGTGCACTTGCACCTCTTTTGAAAAACAACCATGGCTAACTACTTAGTTATTTTTCTCACATTAATGAGGGCTGGTGGAGGACATTTTGGTTTCATTTTGGACTGTTACTTTACTTAATTGAAATTCTGGTGCATTTAACATTTTTGTTTTCAGGTGGTGATTTTGTTTTAACTGCATAACTGCTGTAAGTTGGTAGGTATACCTTAATGTCAAACAAACCTCACACACTAGTGGGTTGTATTTAGTCTGCTCATCTATGCCTGCCATTCAAAAGCCACCAACAACATTTTTTCATCCCTGGCAACATACTTTCCTTCCATTTGCTTGCAAGACCTCTGGATTGTCTCTTTTGCTTGGGACTGCAGTACCCACAACTCTCTTGGAAAACAGAGTTGCACTTACCTGTAACTGTTGTTCACAGACGTCTTCTGTGCAGATACACATTTGGCTTGTGCAAGCACAGTCCCAATGTGGGGCTGCACAAGAAGACGGAAAATGAAAACCAAGCTACAAAGCAGATCAAGAGCCTGAGCACCCCAAGCCCAGCTTCTCTACCACAGTGGCTGCCTGCTGCTGCCTGGACTACTACCTTATTGAATACTTGTTCACACAGAGCTGGCATCTACCAAATTCTACGTCATCTCCAGTGCCCAAGTCTTGCTTGGTAATCAACAACTGCCAAGGCAGACTATGCAAAAAGCAAATCTACAGAAGATTCAGCTCCACACCAATCTCACTTAAATATGACAGAAAAAAGTATAAGCAAAATAAGCTGAGACACTGGGCCAAAAGGCCACCTAAGAACCTTAATTCCACCTACGCAATAATAACTTTAAAAAAAAAAAAAACATAAGATTTTGGCACAATTAACTCCTCCTCACCTGTTGATGAAGCCATAGCCGTTCCTTACGTTGAACCATTTCACTGTCCCCAAAACCTTCGTTGCTAGAAATGAAAAAACAAATGCAGGTTAAGATATGCAAGAGCTGACAAGACATCACCATACACTTCCCCACTATATTGGGAGGAGCCAGGTTTATACTTGATGCTGGTGGATTGCAACATCAAGGGGCAACTTCCCTGAAAGAACAAAGGTGAACTTCCACATTGCTTCCACCAGCACCTGTTAAAGGAGTCAGTTCACACAGCTGGTAGACTGTAAGGAACCCTCAGTTCATTAGATGGCTTTAGGTAAACCACTGGGGGGGGCACTGCCCCAATGGAGCTAAATTGGGGGGGGGGGTCACTGCCCCAATGGAGCTAAATTTAACTGATATGCCATATAGAGCCTATCATAATTAACTCTGCAATTCAAAGAGTGCAGTAGCTAAGGGCGAACAGCAATGCTCCAGATCAAATCTCACCTGAGAGACAAACTCACAAGGTTTCAGTCAAGCCACTGTGCTTTCAAAAATACCCAACCCCTGAAACATCGGAAACAGGCTTAGCTGACAAGTTTGTTAGGAAAGCTACGACACAACAAACTTGTTAAATCTCACCTGAGAGACAAACTCACAAGGTCTCAGTCAAGCCACTGTGCTTTCAAAAAATACCCAACCCCTAAAACATGGGAAACAGGCTTAGCTGACAAGTTTGTTGGGAAAGCTACAACACAACAAACTTATTGGGTAGGCCAGTAGTACTATTTCCATGTTCCAGGGTTGAGTAGGTGACTCCTAGTCTTGAAATACTCCATCAGTAGGCAAATGCTACAATCCCAGGGACATACTATAGCATATATTTACATATTTACAATGTGACAGAGAGCATGGGACTGAAGGAAAAGAAAAATTACACTATACAGAACATCTTATTTCTGTAAGTTAACCCTGTACCCTTTTTGAGATGAAAGATACCAGAAACACACACACGCTCAGAAATAAGCTCTACTGAATTCAGATGGACTTAGTTCCAAGTACACCTGCACACAACTGGAACTTTAAGGGCTTTATTCAAACCTGCAACATGTGAAGCTGCAGGCATGTAAACTCATAAATTGATTCCAGTGGGCTTTACAGATCTTGACACACTAAGTAAACAAGGGTGGAGAAGACAAATTACGTACTACAGGATTACCAGCTGGCCAGGAAAATTAAAATAAAAAACAAAACTTGACATGGCTCCTTTCCACTACTTAATAACCACGGAGACCCTTAAAACCCCCACCCCCCTTTCACAGAAGCTTTCACTCCCCTTTGTTTATTACAACCAGAGGCAGGGCCTTCTCTGCTACAGCCCCAGAATACTCCTCTAGGCCTCTCTCCTTTTTATCAGTAACTTTACTTTTTTGCTGGTTAGCTATGTATTTGAGTAATTGTTTTAAAAGCAATTGCCACCCTGGGTGCTCACATGGGAAACGCCATACAAATCTTGTAGATAAGTCTAATGAGCAGATGAAGCTTTTCCTGGGCTGTGGCCACACAAATTAAACAATGCACTTTCCAACTGGATTTTACTGCGTGCACTGGAACTGGATTATTTAGTGAGCGACAGCAGCCCTGGAGCCTCCAGAGAACCAAAAGGTGGTAGGCTTTTCCCGGCAATCCTCAAAAGCACGTGTGAAATCTACACTGCCCCGCAAGGCGCCATTACTAAAAACTTTATAAAGAGAGGGGGGGAAAGAGACAGGCCATCAACCGATTTTCATCCTCAGCAATTCAAAGGGGACGAGGGCGAACCATCACCCCCTTGATTCACGCCCGCAAACCGGAGGCGATGAGACAGACACCCGCCCCTTACCTCAAAGGCCCCCACTTGGATCCGACATATTGAGCCGTCCCCCCTCGACCACGCCCCCTCCTCCACAGGCGCACGCGTCCCCCCACCTCCCACTTTTTTGCGACAGCAGGGCGCGCACGCGTGCAGAGGGAAAGGCGAGCCAGCCGAGACGTCTCAACCGCCGGGGCACGCGCTCCGGCCTGCCTGCCTACCAGCTATAGTGGGGGAAATTAAGAGGCAGACCAGAGAGAGGGAGAAGAGCCGCGCGCGCCCTTTAGCCAGCTGATCAGCGGGCAGTGAGGGAGAAAGGGGGGGAGGGCTGAAAGGAACGTGAGGAGGAAAGGATAAGAGGACGAGAAGCGCGCGCACACAGCGACCACCAGGCACGCGAGGCGCAGGGGGGGGGAGGGCCCGCTAGCC